AACTGCCCATTCACCTATTTCAGCTACCTAATAAAATGGTCAGAAATTGGCAATTTGGCCAATTTCACACATTTCAAAGATGCCAGTTTCAAAATAGGGTCCAGAATAAGCAATGCAGATATTCCTGGTACTAAAATAATATTTTCTCTATTCATTAGTCATGTCCAAGCCCCTCTTATACATTTACTCTTGCTTTCCATTTTGAATTTGTATTCACACAAAAAGTAGAAGGTTTACTATTATGCAGACTACTGCATCATTGTAATAATTGTATAAATAATGTCAACCCATTCATGACTGTTCATTAGACTGGCCAGTTGGACAGGTACTGAACGGTGACATCATTTGTTTACCCTTGAACATTGGCAAAAGTTGAACAGTTCCACTACTTTGAGCTCAATTTCAATGTGCTTTTCATCGTGATACCAGTCAAAGTCATATCTCTTTCTGTAATATATCTTCCATTCTATCAAATGAGACCCAAAAAACAAGAATACGACCATAAAAACCATGCGAAAACATACTGTTAAGGGGCGGCTAATGGCTGAGAAGTGAACTTTGTTATATATCCTCCAATTTCTTTCATTTCTGGTGTATGTTAAGAAGCATCTTTCCATCATACATTGCCCAGGTTTCAATAAGATAGCCCAACAAACAACTGAGAAAGAAAAAATGACAAAAATTATATATGGCAAGCCCAAGCCAGGTACTGGAAATAAGTCACTTTGACTTTTTTGGGTTGTCCTAGGTTCTCTATCATATGCTGCTATGTATGATTATGTAACTGCATTTGTGTATACCTGAATAAACTTACACACAAATCAAAAACAAATTGTTACATTTCAAAAATAAATTCACCAGTTTGTAAAACAATCATTTTTTTATGTTGTTTGTGAAATTCATTGCATTCCTATCATTATTAATGCCGATGTGTTAAGATATACAGTGGAACCTCAAATTTCAAACGTATCGCTTATCGAACTCTTCGAAAATAGAACCCTTTTTTCAAACCAACTTTGTCCCTATTATTGAACCCGCCCCTGTTTTCGAACCGCCAGGTACCGGACCTGTCTGGCGGCCTGCTTTGTCAGTGTCCCCACACAGGCGCCGTGAGCCAGTCTGGTTTTGTTGATGCTTGAGTGAGCACTAACCTGCACTCTCATTCAAACATTTTATGATTATTTCATTGTGTTTAGTGCTTGTGGGACTGTGAAATAAGCTACAATTGGAGCAATGAAACTTGCTAGTGGTACCCTTGTGGTAAAGAAAGTGACAAACACCATAGATGTGAAGAAGGAAATAATACAGAAGTGGAATGATGTCCAAATGTTTGTGGAGAAGTACCACCCTGAGCAAGCTGAAACAAGCCATCTTTGCAACAAGTTCAGTGACAGAACCATGTCCCATTTTAGGGAAATCTTAAAGAGGCACCAGAAACAGAGGACTGTGGACAGTTATTTTGTGAGACAGGGGTCCAGTGACTCTCAAGCTGGTCCTAGTGGCATTAAAAGACAGAGAAAGGAAGTAACCCCAGAGAGGGCTTTGATACCTGAAGTCCTCATGGAGGGGGATTCTCCTTCCAAACACGAACCCCAACTCCCTCTCTCTTCCAGATGCCATCACCAATCTTCAATAAAGGTAAGTAAAATGTTATTTTATATGTTTATTTAAATTTATTAATACATAATTGAACACTATATTTGTTGTATGTATGTAAAACTATAATTAATCTCTATGAAATGTATTTTTTTTTTTGTAAATATTTTTGGGGGTTGGGAACGGATTAATTGTATTTCCATTATTTCTTATGGGAAATATTGCTTTACTTTTCAGACTTATCAAATTTAGAACTAAATCCTGGAATGGATTAAGTTCGATATTTGAGGTTCCACTGTAAATGAATGACCTACTTCCAAGATAATCAACGAAAATGAGCGCGCACCGAAAAAAAAAAATAGAGAAAATAGCTTTTTAGTTTCAGCTTCATGGTGCATTACGAGTGTATAGTGGAACCCCAGATTTTGTACTTAATCCGTTCCAGAAGGTCATTCTAAATCCGAAAAGTCCAACAACCGAAGTAATATATCCCATAAGAAATAATGTAAATACAATTAGTCTGTTCTGGACACCCAAAAATATTCACAAAAAAATTTATTTTTTAAAGACTAACTATAGTTTTACATACAGAAAACAATGATAAATATAAACATTACATACCTTTATTGAAGACTTGTTGGCATATTGAAGAAGGTGAGGTGGGAAGAGGGAGTTGAGGTTATTGTTTGGAAGGGGAATCCCCCTCCATAAAGACTTTAGGTATCAAAGCCCTCTCTGGGGTTACTTTCCTTCTTTGTCTTTTACTGACACTTTCTTTGCCAGGATGGAAAAGATTGTTGATTTCAACTTCCCATGCATTCTGGTAAGCTCAGCTAAACTTTCGCCACTTTCATATTTTTCTACAATCTCTTTCTTTAATTCTATCATGTTTCTCAATTTTTTTACCAAAGGGCTGGCACTAGAAACTTTGGGTCCATGGCAGCTTATTTCGTAGTCACAATCAATAAACAATCACAGAAATTGTGAAATGTTTTGGATGAATTCTCACTCAACCAGTGACACGCCGGACTGAAGCGGCATCCCGGCGGGTGGACGTGTCTGACACATGCGATTCCCGGGACAAGGTCTGAAATTTGAAGCAAAATTTCACACAAATAAAGTGTCTGAAATCTGAAAAGGCCGATATCCGGTGCGTGCAAAATCCAAGGTTCCACTATACAGTGGACCCCCGGTTTACGATATTATTTCATTCCAGAAGTATGTTCAGGTGCCAGTATTGAACGAATTTGTTCCCATAAGGAATATTGTGAATTAGATTAGTCCATTTCAGACCCCCAAACATACACGTACAAACGCACTTACATAATTGGTCGCATTGGGAGGTGATCGTAAAGCGGGGGTCCACTGTATATCATAGTTAGCCCTGTACTACACTATGTTTTCTCTAGTATAAGCCCCAAGACAGGGATAGAAGAATGGTACTTTTATCCCATATCCTCTAGCGGTAACTTCATACCTCCTTCAAACTGCTCGGTATTATGCCAAATATTATTCATTCTGGAGTATTTACCTTGTTTTTATGTTACAGTGGAACCTTAGTTTTTGTGATTAATTTGTTCGAGAAAGTCTGATGAAAACCGAATTGTACGAAAATTGAAATAACATTTCCCATAAGAAATAATGTAAATCCAATTAATCCATTTCAGATACCCAAAAATATTAGCGAAAAATACATTTTATAAAGAATAACTGTAGTTTTACATACAGAAAACAATGAGAAATAAATATAAATGACTAATGAAATGGATAAATAAACATTTAACATCACTTTTACCTTTATCAAAGACTCTTGTTGGTGTATAGAAGATGGCGAGGAAGGGAGAGGGAGGAGAGATTGTTTGGAAGGGGAATCCCCCTCCATAAGGACTTCAGGTATCAAGGTCCTATCTGGGGTTACTTCCCTTCTTTGTCTTAATGGCACTAGGTCCAGCTTGAGAGTCACTGGACTCCTGTTTCACAAAAAATATGTCCAGAGAGGTCTGTTTCTGGCGTCTCCACAAAATTTTGCAACTCATTCTACTTTGCACTCAACTAGAAACAAAGCCAGACTGAGTCAGAATGCATGGGATACTTTGTGAGGGCATGGGCAGGCAGATGTGCTTGGTACGGTGGACTATTGTCAGCTCTATGAAAACCAAGCAGATGTACGAAAACTGGGACAAAATTTTGACGAAAAAAGTTGTTGAAATCCAAATCCTATGAAAACCAGAGCATACAAGAACTGAGGTTCCACTGTATTTATATTGTTTATTATGTCATATTAGATCAGTTGTGATAGGTAAATAAGCTGTAGTGTTGATATCAGTGTAATAATTAAGCATATTCCTTGCATCATGAGACTCGGGAATTCCTGCTGACGTAAGCAAATGTTTCCAGACGGTTCCTGATTGGCTCTCAGACTCCATAATAGCTCCACCCACTCTGTTATGATACCAAATCATGAATTATTATATTAGATAGAATAATAAAAGAAATAAAAAAAAATGGGAAAAAATCTGAAAATTGACCACATGAGAGCACACATGCTATGGGTGGCAGCATCACCATATATGTTATAAATGACTATAATTCCTTGTAGGAACAGAGTACAACAATGATTCTTATACCAGTGTGTTGCCAAAGTCTTAAGCTATTTTCTATATGATTAGCTCAATTTTCGTTTTTTTTTTTTCCAAATTGTTTTTTACTTTGTGCACCACATGCTTTAGCCACCCCTAAGTCACTGTTTTACACCACGGTCACAGTTTTTTTTGTCATTATGTGCCGGATGCTGCAGGATTTCTTTTATATAGTACACACCACACAGACCTATTCTCTCGTATGTAAACCAAAATTTACTGGTCACATCTTATCTGAGTGAGCTGAGCTTATGGCAACTGACAGTGGCTTCAAAGCCACCTTACCTTTTTTGGACAATGTATGGTGTATGTGCTTTACACAATGAGGAACATTTCTTTTATTCGTTGGAACCATGGCCATGGCTAAAAGTAAGCAGGTTATAACAATAAATGGAGAAAAAGAAATTGGAATGACTTATGCAGCAAGTAGTGCCACCAGACAGTAACAGCAAGTTGGTGTGGCAACCCCAGAAATTTGAAATTATGCTAGCCGAAATTAGTGCTGGATTACTGATGGAGCCGAATTACTGATTGCCGGATTAGTGATGGCCGACATGTAGTGCACTGTATCTTCATATTATTGCTAAGATTCACTGTAGTGTATATCTTTGATGTACAAAGATAAGCTTATTGGTATTCTGTCAATATATAAGTTTATAAATATTCTTCAAGCAGTACATATTGTATGTTTTTAACAAGAAACTGAATTCCTTATTTTATATATGGAGCACAGGGAGCCTTTCCATACTAAGAGTGAACAGTGAGATAACAGTTATGTTAAAACTGATACAGTGAACATAAAAATTATTAATAAAATTGATTATTACCATTTTTCAGAGCCATCTGCAATTGGTCTTATTATTCAGTTCATATACAACAGCATCAAGAGAACTGAGGGAAATAATGAGGTGCGTATTTTATTATTTTTTTTTTTAAATTCTGAAACGTGTGTGAATGAGACTCCTCAGATTGCTGTAGAACATTCTCTTTTATTTGTACAATAATGCTCAAAAAGTAGTAAGTACAAACTTTCAAATTCAGACTTGAATTTGGTGGACAGCAACCATCCTAGAAGTGTGGAACAGAAGCCTGTTAAACATTTTATGCTGGCAAAATTACTGCTCTTCCTAAATGATTAAAGATTTTACTTCTTTGCAAAGGTTACAATGTGTCATTACAATTTAGATTAGTTAAGTACAAAGAAAACCATTATCATGCTCAGGCATTTTGGGTAGACTAATCCTAGTACATAATAACTACTTACGTCTAGACAAGATTAGAGTGGTTAACTTTTTAATAAATATTTATTTTATCTTAATACTAATATGAGATAGTCAAGGTGGAGGTTCATAAGAATAATTATCTTGAAGTTGCACATAATAAAAACAATATTACAATTAATGGCTTATTCAGTAATATTTTATGGATTGGCAGGTGTTATAATAGACTATTTTTATTTAATTAACACATCAGCTGTTTCCCGAAAAAGAAAAACTTTCATCATCATTCATTCCATCACTGTCTTGCCAGAGGCATGCTTACACTACAGTTATAAAACTGCAACATTAGCACCTCTCCTTCACCCCTCCAATCAAAATCATCTCTATTTCTGTAATATGTCTTCCATTTTATCAAATAAGACCAAGAAAACGAGAATACAACCATAATCACTATAAGAAAATGCACCTCAAAGTTGGCGTTTTAATCTAAAAATCCTTCATGCACTGAGTGCTGAAGGATTTTTTTTCATACTGCATACTGACCACACAAACCCATTCTTTCACTTGTGGGCCTACCAGTTTTCTCTCACTTGATTTGAAGCCAGTAGAATTTTGGAGTATAAATACAGTAGGGCCCTGCTTTACGGCGTTTCGCTGTGCAGCGTTCCGCTAATACTGTCATTTCAAATTATGACCAAAACTCTCTATACGGCTCCCCCCACCTGACTTTCTAATACAGCCACTGCGCTCCACTCGGTTTGTTTACATGTTATGTGAGATCCGTGAGCACTATGTCTCTCCATTATGTCTGGAAATTCCAAAATTTCAAGTGTTTTTAAAAGTTATTTCATATTTTTTGTATATATATTTTTTTCAACAAACCGGCCCTATCCCACCAAGGCAGGGTGGCCCAAAAAGAAAAACGAAAGTTTCTCTTTTTAAATTTAGTAATATTTTATATATACTTTTTTTTTTTTTTTTTTTTTTTTTTTTTTTTTTTTCCAACAAGTCGGTCGTCTCCCACCGAGGCAGGGTGACCCAAAAAAGAAAGAAAATCCCCAAAAAGAAAATACTTTCATCATCATTCAACACTTTCACCACACTCACACATTATCACTGCTTTTGCAGAGGTGCTCAGAATACAACAGTTTAGAAGCATATACGTATAAAGATACACAACATATCCCTCCAAACTGCCAATATCCCAAACCCCTCCTTTAAAGTGCAGGCATTGTACTTCCCATTTCCAGGACTCAAGTCCGACTATATGAAAATAACCGGTTTCCTGAATCCCTTCACTAAATATTACTCCTGCTCACACTCCAACAGATCGTCAGGTCCCAAGTATCATTCATCTCCATTCACTCCTATCTAACACGCTCATGCACGCTTGCTGGAAGTCCAAGCCCCTCGCCCACAAAACCTCCTTTACCCCCTCTTTCCAGCCTTTCGAGGACGACCCCTACCCCTCTTTCCTTCCCCTATAGATTTATATGCTTTCCATGTCATTCTACTTTGATCCATTCTCTCTAAATGACCAAACCACCTCAACAACCCCTCTTCTGCCCTCTGACTAATGCTTTTATTAACTCCACACCTTCTCCTAATTTCCACACTCCGAATTTTCTGCATAATATTTACACCACACATTGCCCTTAGACGAATTTTCTGCATAATATTTACACCACACATTGCCCTTAGACAGGCCATCTCCACTGCCTCCAACCGTCTCCTCGCTGCTGCATTTACCACCCAAGCTTCACATCCATATAAGAGTGTTGGTACTACTATACTTTCATACATTCCCTTCTTTGCCTCCATAGATAACGTTTTTTTACTCCACATATACCTCAACGCACCACTCACCTTTTTTCCCTCATCAATTCTATGTACTCTGATAATTATACTTATGTATACCTGTATCTAAATAAACTTACACACTGTGCTGGCATGCAGGTACATATTAAATCGGTAAGTGTGTCTTATGTCTTGAGATATCATATTAGTAATGATAATAATAATCACTGAGTCTCATTAAATGTCGTATATTATGTTAATATACACATTTTCTTTAATCCATCTATGATATTTTTTCAAAATTATGTAATAAACACTATACATAACATTAAGATGATAAATACACCTCACAGTAGAATAAATAAACATAAATATGAGATGTGGTAGCCAGACAACTTGTACAAGTGATGGCAAGAATAACATTTTCTCTAGTCCAACATAAGAGAAAATGTGTTACTGGGGGTATCTGTAGAAGATTATTCCTTTCGTATGTAAGTTTATTCAGGCATACACAAATACAGTTACACAGATTATCGTACATAGCAGCATATGTGTAAAGTACCTAGGATAACCCAAAAAAGTCAGACAGTGACTTATTTCCATTGCCTTCACTCAGAGCTTCATTTCTTCTAAATGGTGTTACATGAGAATGGGAGTGTTCCTCTTTGTTTATTCTACCGTATCAATGTATTTACAATGTGTTTACATTGAAGCATATATGTGAACAGTATTTAGATAAAGGTAGGGAAGTTTTTATTTCATTTATGGATTTAGAAAAGGCATATGATAGAGTGGATAGAGGAGCAATGTGGCAGATGTTGCAGGTTTATGGAATAGGTGGTAAGTTACTAAATGCTGTAAAGAGCTTTTATGAGGATAGTGAGGCTCAGGTTAGGGTGTGTAGAAGAGAGGGAGAATACTTCCCGGTAAAAGTAGGTCTTAGACAGGGATGTGTAATGTCACCATGGTTGTTTAATATATTTATAGATGGGGTTGTAAAAGAAGTAAATGCTAGGGTGTTCGGGAGAGGGGTGGGATTAAATTATGGGGAATCAAATTCAAAATGGGAATTGACACAGTTACTTTTTGCTGATGATACTGTGCTTATGGGAGATTCTAAAGAAAAATTGCAAAGGTTAGTGGATGAGTTTGAGAATGTGTGTAAAGGTAGAAAGTTGAAAGTGAACATAGAAAAGAGTAAGGTGATGAGGGTATCAAATGATTTAGATAAAGAAAAATTGGATATCAAATTGGGGAGGAGGAGTATGGAAGAAGTGAATGTTTTCAGATACAGTGGACCCCCGCATACCGATGGCATCACATAGCGATTAATCCGCATACCGCTTGCTTTAATCGCAAAAATTTTGCCTCACATACCGCTTAAAAACCCGCTCACCGATTTTCGTCCGAGACGCGTCCAATGTGCAGCCTGAGCCATGCTCACATGTTCCGCCGGTGGCATTGTTTACCAGCCAGCCTCCGCGGTAACATCCAAGCATACAATCGGAATATTTCGTATTATTACAGTGTTTACGGTGCTTTTTCTGGAAAATAAGTGACCATGGGCCCCAAGAAAGCTTCTAGTGCCAACCCTACAGCAATAAGGGTGAGAATTACAATAGAGATGAAGAAAAAGATCATTGATAAGTATGAAAGTGGAGTGCGTGTCTCCGAGCTGGCCAGGTTGTATAATAAACCCCAATCAACCATCGCTACTATTGGTGGTACAGCTGCTGCTGCTGCTGCACTGTCAGCTGCTGCTGCTGCTGCACTGTCAGCTGCTGCTGCTGCTGCTGCACTGTCAGCTGCTGCTGCTGCTGCACTGTCAGCTGCTGCTGCTGCTGCACTGTCAGCTGCTGCTGCTGCTGTAGCATCATTTGCTGCTGCTGTAACATCGTCTGTTGCTGCTGTAGCGTCGTCTGTTGCTGCTGTACCACCGTCAGCTGCTGCTGCTGCTGTAGCATCGTCTGCTGCTGCTGTAACATCGTCTGTTGCTGCTGTAGCATCGTCTGTTGCTGCTGTACCACCGTCAGCTGCTGCTGCTGCTGTAGCATCGTCTGCTGCTGCTGTAACATCGTCTGCTGCTGCTGTAGCATCGTCTGCTGCTGCTGTAGCATCGTCTGTTGCTGCTGTACCACCGTCAGCTGCTGCTGCTGCTGTAGCACCGTTGTTGGTGTGGCTTATTGAGAATACCAAGAAACAATTAACCCCAGGGATTTGCCACCCAGGATAACCCAAAAAAGTCAGTGTCATCGAAGACTGTCTAACTTATTTCCACTGGGTTCTTAATCTTGTCTCCAGGATGCAACCCACACAAGTCGACTAACACCCAGGTGAACAGGGAAAAATGCCTGGAACTAGTGCTCATATTGGTGAATTTAAAGCCAGCAAAGGTTGGTTTGAGAGATTTAAGAATCGTAGTGGCATACACAGTGTGATAAGGCCTGTTCTGGAAGAAAATGCCAAACAGGACCTACAGTACTCAGGAGGAAAAGGCACTCCCAGGACACAGTGTCTCATCAGTCATTGCTGCATCTTCAATAAAGGTGTCATTTATTCTTCATTTAGTAGACTAGTACATGCACAATATATACTGTGCATGTACTACTCTACTATTGTGCATGTATCCTTCTCTTTGTGTGTGGGAAAATGTATATTTCATGTGGTAAAAATATTTTTTTCATACTTTTGGGTGTCTTGCACGGATTAATTTGATTTCCATTATTTCTTATGGGGAAAATTCATTCGCATACCGATTATTTCGCATAACAATGACCCCTCTTGCATGGATTAAAATCGGTATGCGGGGGTCCACTGTACTTGGGAGTTGACGTGTCGGCGGATGGATTTATGAAGGATGAGGTTAATCATAGAATTGATGAGGGAAAAAA